TCTTCTCCACCAAAACAAACTTTTTAGTTTTAGTTCCCAGTTTTAATATTTTTCCTTAGTATTTGTTTCAGCTATTTTTATTTTCTTTATTGGATATGGGTAGTTGTTTTATATTGTCATTTCTATTTTGATTCAGTTAGTTTTCTATTTTAAATGTAGTTGCATCGATAAAATTTTCAGCATTAACAAAATTTATTTTTTCTCTTTTAAATTGCATGCAAGTCTTCCTTTGAGAATACAAAACCGGTTTATTTCATTCCATCATGCTCTGTGTTATCGGCGTGTACCGCCTTCAGCCCCCGAAATGTGATAGAGTGGTATTAGAGCCCGTGTTTTGTATTTAACTTCCTTGACTTTGCATCACAAATCCCTTTACTTCTTAGGATTGGGTAGGGAATAAATTATTTTTGTAAGTCGATGTTCAATTGATTTTGATTTCATATATCTTTCAATTGATTTCTAAAAAGAAGAGATTTTGTAGTTGCTCGTGGAAAGGAGTCCAGATAGCTACTATAAATGAGGTGTTTGTTTCTAGGGTTCCCCGCTATTCTAATTGTCATTGTGTTGATCATGTTCAAATCACTGAGACTGTTGGAGCACAAAGTCTCAACATGGCGACTCTCGTGGAAGTAGTAACACAGAATATTACCCATGCGTTACAAGCTAACTTTGTAGCCCAATTTGCATAAGCGGTCCAAGTTATGCAACAAACGGTGCAAACAATATTACAAGCCACTCAACCAATACCACCATTCAATGAAACATTGAACCCGATCGAGTCTGACGCATGACTCCATGATATTAAAAAGAGACTTCAAAGGATAAAGTGTCATGAAGACCGTAAGTTGTACATTACGACATTCTAGTTGCGTGAAGGAGCTCGTAATTGGTGGGAAAGTCACAGTTGCAACACTTTTGAACCAAATGCAGTAGTACCTTGGGCAGATTATGAAAGATTATTCCTGGAACAATATTTACCTATGGCAGATCGGGCCAAGCTCATGAATGACTTGAGAAAACTGGAGCAAGGGACAATAACTGTTCGAGAGTATGAGACGCAATTTGTCAGGATCGTTTGTTTTATCACATCAATTAATCAACATGAAGATCAGAAGATATATCACATACTAGTTAGCTTGTGAGAAGACATTAGGACGTGCCTATTGGCAGTTAAGTGCATGACTTACAGAGAACTGGTGGATCAAGCTATTCATGCAAATATAAAGATCTACGCCTGCGAGAAAAAAACATGTCGGGAAGCGAAAGAATTCAAATACACAAGCTAATGGGAGTTCCCAAAAGCAGCAACGTCAAAATAATCGGGCGCATAAGTCAAACAAATCCACGATGTGTTCATGTGGGAAATGGCATTTTGTGACTTGTAATTTGGTTTTTGGTAAATGCTTCAACTGTCATAGTACCAACCATAAATTTAAGGATTGCCTCTTCAAGGTTCAAAATCAGCCGCAAGCAACAAACAACCAGGAAAATAATTCCAAGTCTTATCACAAGAATAAGTGACATAAGTCAAATGGAAGCAATTTTCGAAGCATCACAGAAAGGGTCAAGAGAAACAAAATTAATTTTAGCCTCAACAACAGCAGCAACAAATGGTGGCGTCTCAACCTTATCAGCAGCATCCTCCTACATCATAACACCAACAAACTCAGCAGCTACCGCTGATGTATCAACAACCCATTTGAACTATGTCGCTAGTTACATCGTTTGTTGCTTAGAAGTGTCTTTTCGGACATCTCGAGGTAAGTAACTACTTTTTATTAGAGGAAAAACGTATCATTCCTCATCAAGGACGCTAATCCTTGATATTTGTAGCATCTTCATAATTATTTCATAGTATTGTCAATCATACTTTGGTTCTTCAATTATAATTATTATGTTATATTTTTATATGCTTCTATTATTGCTCATAATGAAGTAACCAACTACCTGAATGTATTGATGCAAAATTCATGCATATTTGAATTAATCTTGCAATTATGATATTTATTGCATGTGAATTTATGTTATATCACAAGTTTGTATGAAATAACATATTTTTTATATATTATATATGTGAAAAATGTTGCATATACTTGTGTGTAATGATATATAGGTCGGCGGAACCCTTTTGAATATGAGCTAACCAGACCGAGGGGCCCACAGAGTGACGACACTACAGGAAATAGTTGAGTTTTCTTGGGTTGATATTTTACATTCCCGGTTTCAATGTGTCTATTAAAACCGACTATATAAATATAAATAAAAAAAACATAATAATAAAAAACTTGATTGCATGTTTTTTTATGATATTTTGGCATATTTGATTTATCACTCTTTTTTTTGTTTCATGATAATTATATATGCACGAAGTACTCATCTTTATTTGTTGTTCATACTGCATGCCCCATTTTTCTTATCTTTTATGTTTTAATAAATAATTGTTACTTATTGAGTTTGTTTGTCAAACTCGTTTTTTGATATTTTTGCATAACATGTTTTATTCAGCTATTAGTATGATCGTCTCCACTAGAACATACTTTTCAGTTTTAATTTCTTCTTTTTAGTATTTTTCCTCAATATTTGTTCTAGCTATCATATTTTTCTTTGTCGGGTCTGATTAATTATTCTATGTTATCATTTCTATTTTTAGACCAGTTGTATCAGTGAAATTTTCAGTAGTAATAAAATTTACTCCTCTTTTTAATTGCATGCAAGTCATTCTTTGAGAAAACAAAATATGTTCATTTCATTTCATCATGTCCTATGTTGTTGAGGTGTACCGCCTTCCAGAACCAGAGTGTGACATTAATAATATAAAAATTACATTTGACAACAACTAGAAGTAACTCAAGCTTCAAAAGCGAAGACAATAAGTTTTCTTCATTATTTCTAACAAAGGTCACAGATGCAAGGTGATACTCTTACACATATGAATGCACCTTGAGCTCGATATTTAATCAAAAAATCATTCCACATGAAAACTGATTTAGTTTTGATTACAAAATCATGCCACATGATAGTTGATTTAGTTTTAATTGCGAAAACAAAGGTGGTGAACGTAAAATGATTTCAAATGAGAAGAAACATGTATTGACATCTTTCAATGAAAATAATAGCATAAAAAAGTCAATCTACACCAAAGCGAAAATTTTTGAAATGATCTCTAGGCAATAAAAAAACTCAGACTATAAGCAAAATTTCAACTGCCCCGCAGAAGTAGACTACAGTTTGCAAAAGAAACCAACAAACTAGCCATAATGTAATGTTATATTCAAGTAGTAATTAAGCCTCAAAGACACCCTCAGCTCATCAATAAAAAATAAAAAAAAACAAACCAGAGGAATAGGAAAACAAGATGCAAACTCAAAACATCAAAGTACTAATTCTTAAGAGCAAATTCTAGCTTAGCAAATCACTTATTCCAAATTAATTGAAAATAGTAAGCACGAAGAGCAAGAGGATAAACTAGTGCAGGGCATAAGCTTCTCACTGATATTAACATCGACCAAAAAAGTCCTGATGCCACCTTCAGAACTTTAATTCTGCTTGGCACAGCAGTTGACTTATATTTTCCAATATTTTTTGTACTTCCAACCGCAGGCAAAAAAAAATGTGAGTTCTCATCTCTCAATGGGATGGGTTTATACCATTATTTCCTAATCCCATCTTTTGACCCAAAACTTGAAGCTGTTGAACAAAATCCACACCGTTAAGCATGTCAGTAGTACCATACATGATATGTTTTGTGGGTTGTGAGCGCTGTGCTAGCTCCATCAAGCTCTTGTACTCTACATAATGATTTTCACCTATCCTAAAAACAATCCCTTCTTTAAATGGACCCTTCAATTGCGCTCCAGTTCAGGATCTTGGTGTGCGAGTATCATACACCATGTAAGAATTCACTTAAGGATTTGGTTTCCCTTCCATTAATGCTTTAACAATTCTTGTATAGTTGTCTTGCCCTTGATAGTAGATTCTTAATAGCAGCAGTTATAGCACTCAAGGACTGTCCAAAGACCTTCTCAGCCCAATCCACAATGTTGCCCTTACTGGCAGAGGCCACAGACGAATTCATTAACATGCTCAGGGATTTGAAGTTATTAACATGCTGAAATGCGCATGTATCCACTTCACACTCCCTCAAAGCCGCTTCTACTGATTCAAGTTCTGATTGTGGAGCTGTCTCCATGGAGAGGAAGTAAATTATGGCAAACAGAAGCTTATCCTCCTTTGTACCTTTATCTTTAAGTTGACTAAGTTGTTGATATTTATCCACGCTACCCTTACTTGACATCTCACCTCCTAAACTACAAAAAGAATCCAAAGCCCTATTCTTGATCTGACCCAACAACACTGTAGCTAGATTTGTGTGTTTGTCAATCACCTTCTTCCTCTCAGTAAGCTCCGAAAGTGAATTACCAGCATATATCAGGTGCTTCGTGTTTCCAATCAGATAGGTGCCATCAAATTCAGCCCCTCTTTGCCCGCCTGTATGCCCATTCACCTCCTATACATCCTGCTTATATTTCAGCTGACTCCTCTCAGTAAACTTATCCTCCTTTGTACCTTTATCAAGTGCTTCGTTTTTGTCTAAATGTTTTTTGCTACGTCTTCTAGTAAAAAAAATATAATTGTGAAACCCCTTAGGTAGAATGAAGCTAAACTCTTAAGCATCGAGATACATATTGGTCTAACAGTTGAATTTTATCAAAAACTCCAAAGTTAAGCGTGATGGTTGGAATTTCATTAGAAAGTCTAAATTTAAGCATGCTCCTGCAGGAGCACTCCTGAAAAGGGTGATTTTCAGGCTTCATCTTTTGAACAAGAAGTCCTAAGTTCAACGCCTTGCATATGAAATATAGCAGGCATTTAAATTAGAAGTTATGACAAAAGAAAAGAGATGAGAAAATGTACCCAAAAGCTTGGCATCTCCACCCATTGTCTTCAAGCAGCAAGATGACCAAAAAACCTTCATAGAACTAACTCATGAATAATGTGCCAATTAAGAAGGAGCATTGATTTCTATACCATTAATTGCTACCCAACTACAACCAGGATTTTTCTGAACACCTCTCCCATACTCTTCCTTCCTCGACGCATCCTCATCCTCGTTGAGCCCATCTGCACCATAAATTTTCGACAATACAGCATAAGGCGTTGGATTCTCTGGTTCAAGCTCAAAAAGCTTATGAAATGCAAGCTTCGCCAGATCGGTATTCGAATGCTGCGCTGTAGCACCAAGCATAGCTCCCCATGCCGCTGAATTGGGGCCATAAGGAATGGAGTTGATTAAACTCAAAGCTTCTTTCAGAAGACCGGCACGGCCTAACAGATCAACCATGCAGGTGTAGTGATCAGGCCCTGGATCAATGCCATAAACCGACTTCATAGAATCAAAGAAATGATTCCCTTCTTCAACCAAACCAGAGCGAGAACAGGCTGCAAGTATTGCGAGGAATGTGATTTCATTGGGCATATGACCATCTCCCTTCATCCTTCTAAATAAATCAAATGCTTCCCGTGCCAAACCATGTTCCGCAAATGCCGTTATCATCGAGTTAATGCATACAATGTTTGAGTTTCTGATGCTTGAGAAAATCCAGCATGCTTCTCTGAGATTTCCACATTTCGAATACATGGAGATTAAGGAGCTGAGAATAAATATATCCGAATCTAAGGCTGTTTTTACAACACAGGCATGGATCTGCATGCCTTCCTTCAATATTGCCAGACTAGCCAAGGCTCTTAAAATGCTGCTTAGCACCAAAGGATTGAGTTTGATCCCTTCTCTCGCCATTTTGTTAAACCACTGACATGCAATTTCATGTTTTCCATTATGAACAAGACCGGAAACTATGGAGGTCCAACCAAAATCATCTTTTTCAGGCATTGATTCGAATAAACTGATCGATTCCTCCGTCCACCCTCTTCTCGAGAAACCCGTCACCATGGAAGTCCAAGAAACAACATCCTTATGTGGCATAGAATCAAAGAGAGCATGGGCCTCTTCAATTTTATCCTGTTCTACATATCCTGTAATTAAAGAATTCCATGAAACCACATCTCTTCTGCTCATGTAATCAAACACTTTCCTGGCATCATCTATGTTATCAGCCCTAAAGTACATGAAAATCAGAGTATTGTCTAAAAATATATCATGCTCAAAACCCATTACAATCGCCAGACCATGAATCTGAGTCCCTCCTCTTATTCTGCCAAATTTAGTGCAAGCATCAAGCATGATTGAAAGCGTGGTCGAATTGGGATTCATATTTTCCTTTCTCATTTGTGAGAAAAGACACAAACTTTCTTCTAAATCTCCAAGTTTGGCATGACCTTGTATCATTGCAGTCCAAGAAATCACATTTTTCACTGGCATCGCTTCAAAAGCCTGCCTTGCTTCCAAAACCATCCCATTCTTGCAGTATCCATCAACCATGGAGCTCCAAGTAAAAACATCCCTGAAAAACATACCCTGGAAAACTCGATCAGCCTTTTCAATTTCACCAACTCTCAAATACGCATTAATCAAAGCATTCGAACCAATCGGTTCACGTAAACCAGGCGGCATCCTCCTGTATACTTTTTCGGCCTGCAAAAGCATTCCTCCCCTGGCAAAACCGGTAATCATTGCAGCATAGGACACGCTGTTTTTTTTAGGCATTGCAGAAAATAACTCATAAGACTCCAAAAGAAACTTTGGATCCCTTGCATAGGCGGAGATCATGGCGTTCCACGAAGCAGCATTTCTCCTGGGCATTTGTTCGAACATCTCGCGTGCCTTAGATATCTCGCCATTATCAGCATAGGCCGTCAGCATGGCAGTCCAGGAAACAACGTCACGGAAGGGCATGGTGTCGAAGATCGAGCAGGCTTCATCAAGATTGCCTTCTCTTCCTCTTTGTGTGATCTGGGAGTTTAAGAACGCACGCAATTTGCCGGATTTTCTTGCTTGGGGAATCTGCTGGACCTGACATTGCGCGTTGTGGCTACTGGTAACTAATTGTGAGAAACTTAAAAGAAGAAACCATTGGCGATAGGGCTTCGTGTCAGATTTCATTAACATGATTGCTTTCATGGAAGAAGGCCACGAAACAGAATCGAAAATGCATCCATTTCAAACTCTTCTTACTATGAAACCGATTTGTTATTTTAAAACACAATTCAGAAGGAGTAGCAAACGACATGTGATTGTAAAGATGAACAAAGAGATCATCAGCTAGACTTGAATACAAACTATATGGATTCTTATAATAATGAATCAAAACGTATCGCTGAGATTGATAAATTAGAAAAGAACAAAAATTTAAATCATTAGCATTGCCTGGTCATGTATATAAGCCAAGCCAAACTCGATGACTAGTTGGTTGCTTAGCCTCCCAGCTGCAATCTTACACTTATGATACTGGCTGATATAGATTGGCCGGTATAGGGGAAAGCAGCTCGGTCTGCGACATTTTTCTATTTTTCTATAACGGCTAACATACTTGGCACTAAGATGTTTGTTTTTGGGCAGCTCGTGCTTATCAAGAAACGCGGCGTGTGGGTCAACTACGGGGGTCAACTCGTAGTCTACGTTTAGTGTAAAAATGAAACAGTGTTTAAGGATAAGCGGACAAAACACACGATCCAAACGACGCCGTGGTGTTTGTAAAAACGGCACTTATAAGCTACCCAAACGGGCCTTTAGTGGGAGAGGCAGGCCGGTTTGCAACATCCTCTCCTGCAAACCTTAGCCTGGGCAAACTAAACTACAATTTGATGCTAGCCTGCTGCATTGCCTTCACCATCTCATGGAAAAATATTAGGTGCTTAGTTTTCATCGATGTGGACTCTAGTACAACTATTATTTATATGATTGTACTCATGATTGTTTTCATGAATACAATTGTGTACAACATGATTATACTAGAGTTCTCATCCCCTACATAATATTCTCTCCCTCATTGAGTTGTTTGATGTGAGGAATTTACACAAGTACAACACAAACCTATCATATTGATTTAGCATGAGTGAGATTTAGTAAATTTGTATTTATTAAACTCCCTCCCTTGTCGGATTTACTAAATTCGGATTTAGCATGAATCTAAGGCAAAATTCAAGCCTTACATCCAAAATTTCATAAATCAATGTAACTTTCGCTTCTTTATGTTTGGCTGGATTTAGTAAGTCCTGGCCATAAATCTTGTTAAAAGGGCCATACCAAACACCCCCCTAAAGTTTAATATTTAAATTTATAAGTTATAATACTTTGGTGTTATAAATCTATTCATGACAATATTATTCTACTTTTTAAAAAGTGATGTTAAAGATTTGAGGGGTAGGTATGTAAATATCAATGTTTAGATGTTAGAAATGTAAATTTATATGAATTGTGTAGTATGTAAGCAAATGCCGCTTTAATCAATCATGTAAATCTAATTTGGTCATGAACTTCTAATTTGGTCCTTTTAGGTGATTGTTCTTTCTATACGGGCACATAGAGTTGATAAAGATAATAAGATAGAGGATTTGAATCTATCACTTATTATTGTGCACAAGTTATTACAGCCTAAAAAATAAGCATAGTAGAAAAAATATTTGATTAGGGATTTCACAGATCCATCATAGACACAAGCTAATTGATAAATGTGTCATCAATGTCCTCCACTTAATTAATGATAATTAATCATATTTCTTCATGCTTGACTGTCAAGATTGGCTAAAAGTCCAAAAATATGGAGATATGAGTGGACAATGGAAGTACAATATGGTTTTAATAGATTGATAAAACCTACAACATGGTTTATAACAATGCAAGAAATTTTTTAATAATTAAAGAGGTAAAATTTCTTAGCTCCATTGACTCTTTTTATGGCACTAGCATCATTTTCTTTTCAGAAGCTGTGATTTATTGTACTTCATAATAAATGATCAAATTTGTTACTACCCAAAGGCATATGAATCTAATATCATTATGTTTGATGAATCATTAAAATTGTACTACCGATGTTAATCTTCGCTCAAAATAAGCCAGGTAGAAAAGTATCCTTTAAGTGGCCTGTTGAGACCATCATGTGTGTTAATGGAGAAGAGAAATACTTTTAAGTTTCCAAGCTAATATAAATGTGTGCTGGAAAATTCGCGGTGGTAAATTAATGGATTATTGTCTTAGTGTTGCACGAGGATTCAACACACACTCAGATTAAAAAAAGAAATAACATGTAATGACACGAGAAGTTTTTACGCGGAAAACCCGTAAAGGGAAAAAACCACGAGGTCTGACCCAGTTGTAAAAATCTACTATAGGTTGATAATTACATAGACTCATTGTCCCACAGACGGGAAAGGGTTACTAGCTTTCCAAGTTACAACGTCGACTGATGGCGTCTAGTTAGCGATGGTCAATTGAGGTCTGCGGTGATCGACGGTAGTCGACGACAATTGATTAAGGTCAATGGTGGTCGATAGAGGTTAGCGGTGGTTGACGGCAGTCAATGACGGTCAGTGGTGGTCAACGAAGGTTAGTGGTGGTCGACAGTGGTCGACAGAAGTTGGCAGTGGTCGCTAACGGTCGGTGGTGTTCGACGATAGCAGGGATGATGTTGGACTTGAACTCCTTCTCAAAGTCTCAAGTTCACTCTCTAGTTTCCTCCCTTAGATGAGACTCTATTTATATCATTCTTGGTGCAATTAATGCGGGAATATAAACCATTTTTGATCGGACGGTCCGAGAGCTTCGCTCGATCAGATGACGTTTAATGAACATTTGAATGCCTTAACGATGTCGAAATTGAGCAATCTTAAGCTCGTTGGATTTGTATTGTCGAGAAGCTCAATTCGACTATAAACTCGCTAGATTCGATATCCGTCTGATCTTCCAAATGACTTCGGAAATCCTCTAAGAGTGGTTTAATGATTTGATTTGGGCTTGATCTGACTTGAATTGTACTAGTTTTTATATCATTGGGTCCGTCTCATCGAGTCAATCAGCTTGACTATAAGTTTGCTGAAATTAGAACTCTGGATAACTTTTTATCAATATTTTAATATTTCTTATTAAAAATATTACCTCGAAATTCATACCACATGATGAAAATTTGTTGGTGGAGTATCAATAAAACTCATATATTTTCTAATGAACTTGAATAAAGTTCATTAAATGGCTTGAAAGTTCTCTCTCACTCTAATGATGATCTTGGCTTTGTATTACTCTAACCCACAATACATCCATGGAGAACTCGTTAAAGATGAAATTATTATGGAAATGCTTCCTTAGTTTATTTGAAATAACAAAGTTATTTGACTTCATAGGATACACATATCTACAATAAGATGAGCAATTTTAAATTTATACAAAAAAAATTGAAGGGCTTATGTTTTATCAAATATGTTTTTATTTTTTGCTTTTATTTATTTAAAACATGTTCGTTTATTATGTTTTTTTACGGGCTTTTATTTTTTCTTTATAATAACAAATAAATTTTTTTAAACACTAAAATTATTTTTTTATGTTTTAAAAACATTTATATATTAATGAAATATGCCAAAAAATATTTTATTTGAAATTAAAATATAAACAAATTATAAGAAAAATAAAATCTAAAAATGATTCTAAACAACCCCTAAATAATTTTATCAGTTCTTGCATATATAATTAGATAATTGTACGTCGATAAACAATCATCATACACTTTAAAGAACATTAGCAGTGATGAAACCCGAGATTGGCTAAAGGAGACACTCACCACCATTTGATTTTTACTAAACTCTTTGATATCCTATAATGCACCATTAAATACTTAATAACAATTTGATATTAATATTTATAATAGTTTTAAATTTTTTGAAGGGGAAGAAAGATTTAAACTAAATTTCATCACTCCAATGGGCCTTGACCATCTATTCTCCCCTTAATAGGCCTCGTTTGTCTACCCTTTCATTTGGGAATGCAAACAACATGTATCAATTGCCTGGGCGGCTTGCCGGATTAGCCTATCCATATGATTAAGTACCACATGCTTGATTGACTTGTTGAGTTGACATGTCGAGTTGATTAGCATAATACATTTTATTGGATATCCATCACCGAATACTACCAATGACAAGCAAGGAAGCACACATTCTACAACAAGTGTTTTTATATTGTATCAACCTATCACCAACTTACCATGAAGACATATATTGAATTGAGCTAAAATCATTTAAATATTTTTCTTAAAACTAGCTAGGGAGAATAATATCTCATGCCTTATAAATAGAGATAATTCGACCTTTAAGGGGGCTTGAACCATAAGCTTTATCAAGTTCTACTATTCATTCTTCATAGAGCAAACTTGCATTTCATTATTTTCCATCAATTTATTTATAGGTTTTGCACATATTGTATAAGCTCACAAACAAATCGGGATTCAACAACAAGTGTTTTTATGTCTTCCCAATTGTATTGCATATGTTTTCATTTTTGCTTGTTTTTTGAACCTCAAAACTTGTACTTATTTTTGCTTAATAAATTAACAATTCTCGTCCAAAAAAAAAAAAATAATAAATATATATATATATATTAGAAAAATATGCGCCACTTCTAGTTTTATTCAAAGAAAAAGATACAAAGATTAAAAAAATACAACTAGTAAAAATATTAAAAAAACATACCTAAATGCAACAACACCTACAACTCCACCAAACATAGCAAAGAACTAAAAGATCCCCAACTCGGACAAGCTTCAACTTAAATGATCATCAACAAAAACAACCTTCAACTTAAATGATCATCAACAAAAACAACGCAAGAAGACAATATCACACCCGCCTTTAAAATAAATTAAAAAGATCACCACAAAGTAACACATGGAGAAAAAACATCTATAACACAAAGGAATAGAAATCTAGACCACATTTCAACAGAAGAGGAGAGAAAAAAATGCAGAAATAATCATAAGGTTCATCACATAAAAGAAAAAACATAACTTATATGCTATTTAGAGTGATGAATGTGCACCATGATACACAGTCTAATTTCACAATTCAATACACACGTGAGCTAATTCCAAAAGTCTCCATCTTTCTCCCCAAATGCCTGAAACAAGAATCCACATTGTGGGATTCTCTAGCCGACGCAGTAAAAATCCAGTCTTTTAGGCATTATCAATGGCTACTTCCATCGAGCTCCATGCTGGTTTCCACCTCAAGCCCTACCCCTCGTCCGCTTGCCAACGGCCGAGGTCTCTCCATTCGAGATTTTCATGTCAGTCAAATGGGCCGGTCACGATAGCTCCGTCGGTTCCAGCAGCATATGCGGATGCTGACGCACGCAAGCAAGAGCGCACTGTCATTCGTCTCGGCCTCCCCAGTAAGGGTCGCATGGCCGAAGAAACCCTAACCCTTCTCAAGGTACGTTGTTTTTCACTTTGGTCACCCTTTCTCCCGGCGCCCCCTTATAATGTCTACATCTTTGGTGCTGGTCTACGCAGAATTGCCAGCTAATGGTGAGGCAGGTGAACCCGCGGCAATACGTGGCCGACATTCCACAGGTGAATGGCATCTTTTGAACTTTTTGGCTATGTTATTCGGTTTTTGGAATGTGTAGTAATTGATTGATCGTTATGCTATGAGCTGTATGATTCTGGTGTCCTTCTGGCTTTCATTTTGTTTGAACAAAGTTTGCCATGGTTCATTTTCAAATGGGTTGTGTCTGAATTTTAGGGGAGTTTATGCATGGAATGAATTTAAGCAATTTGTGGTTTGATTAAGAATATATTGACGCTGGTTTGAGACTTGGTCTCCTTTCTCTTACTTGTTCATTACTTTCCCAACTGACAGACATAATTTTTGTAGAATTTGTTCAAGGGAATAGTTTGCCGCCAGCCAGTCTGATTTGAGCCGTGTTATCGTGTTATAGCCAAAATTATATTGTATTTTTTTTTTTTTCTGTTTCTTCAGGGCACCAAGTAATTTCTAGCTTGTTCTTTCTAGGAAAGCACTGAGGTTTTTTTGTCTAATGATTCAGATAGTCGCATTGCCCGTTGGATAAAACTGTTGTGTGGTGGTTGTATTTAGACTAGCAAATGGAACATCCTTCCTTCTTTTGTTTGATAAGTTTGTATTATTTTAAAAATATTTTTTTCTATGGTGGTTAATTTTTCGGCATATCGCGTTACTTCCGATGTTACCTTCATTAAAATATAGTTATACTCAAATTTTAATCGAAGGTCGCCAATGTGTAAGCTTGCTAATACGAAGTAATTTGGTTTGCACTATTCCTTGATAAGCTAATTGGAGTTGCAAAAATATTTAAGTTTGATATTTGACTCTTCTATACTAGGTTATTGAAGTTTTGTCCTACAATATATGATATCATCTATTAATTTGATTGGGGCTTATATTATGTGTATAAGGTCATCCATTTTGCCCATGACCAATGTTCACTTGTCACCCCATCCCAAATTTTTTACTACTATCCTTTTTTTGTTTTTTTCAATACTTTTTATCATCTAACTACATGGTATTAGGCATTTTAAACATATAAAAATCAGTTGATTTCTTAGGTTATAAAGGATATTGACCACATTACTTCACAAATGAAATTTTCATATAAAGTTAAAATTTTTTTTATCTTATTACTTACATAATTTTATCAAGAGGAATTTACATACATAGGATTTTAAAGTATTAGATTACTTAGTTAACACCCAAAAGTTTATATTTACTCACATAAAACTCAATTTTTCCCAATAATATAAAAAACACCACTTTCCTCGATCTTTACATTAACTTTTCATCCCACGGCGTCGAAGCCCTTTCCCAAACAAGTTCCTGTTGTCACTCTCTCACCTCTTTTTCATTGTATTCCCCAACAAAATATTTTCACCACTTTCTAACTTGTTCTTAATTTTTTAGGGTTTCAACATTTTTTGTAGGAGCAAGCGGGGCAAAAAATGAGGGTTTCAATATTTTGAAATTAAGTAAGATGCTAATGAAGTGGTAGCCTTGTAAATAGGAAGTTTCAAGTGTTAAATATGCAAAAGGAGTAATTTTAAGCAAAGTTGTAAAAATTGGATCAACTATTGAACTAGAAGAATGAGAGATTTAAAGTTCAAAAGTTCAACGAGGGTTAAATCGGGGGTTAAACTTGATGACATAATAAATAATAAAATTATTTTAGTTTGTTTAAATGATGTAATAGTGTCAGTATGTGATAAAAAATAAACAAAATCTGAACACAATTACAAATTTAAAATTTGATATAAAACGTATCAAGATATATATATATATATATATGTACATACCAATATTATAATTTATAATAATTAATAAGTAAAAAGTTCATAACATTTAAAAAGACAGTATAATATTTCTATGTCTTACAACCTATTTAATATTTTCAAAATTCAATTCTTACAGCTCAATTCTTCATTTTCTTTGCCCAAAGCATATTTCAAAACTTACAGTATTTCAGCCCACATTATGGAGGGGATTTAGTATTTAATTTTTTGTATAAAAAAAAACAATTTTGCAGTTTGAGTTCCTAAGTCACCTAAGTGGTGGGTATGTTATGATTAGGTTGATTAAACTCATATTAATTAGATTTATGATTTTTAAATTAATAATTATAAGTTTAACTAAATTTAAATTATAGAATTAATTCTTATATGAGAATTTTAACGATTTAAATGTGAATTAAAGATGATTAGAAAGTCAATGGACTGGTTCGCTGGTTGGATCTGTGGTTTACAAAAGCTTTATGCGAAAACAGTTCTTGAGGCTATCCCGACCGGCCGTATGCTTTGTTAACAGTTGAAGAAGTTAGACAAGCCAGTCCAGTCCAATTTTTAAAACCTTGTATTAAGTACTATATATATAAATTTTCCATTTCTTTATTTTCATTGCTTAGAACCTTGTAGCTAGCTGATCGTTTTTGTTTCATGATGGATATGAGCCAACAAGATACCTGCTGTAGAAGTGCTTCCCGTTGCATAGGTAATAAAATTGTCAAAATTAAGGTATAAAAGAGTATGGGTATCCAAATTTTTTTTTTTGGAAAACTGGGCATACAAAATGCTGATGTTTATGTTTATGTAGGCATTAATTGATGAGGAACTGCTTTTAATTAGATTTGCGCTTCTCGAAATCATCATAATTGTAATGTTGCAAACTATTATTTTCAGCAAGACTTGACTTCTTTAGATATTCCCTTGAACTAGTCCATTGCCTAAGCCTGTCAAGTAATATGCCATTTGTGATGGATGACAGCTTGGAGATAGGTATTACTTTTGCAATTGAGTTGCTAAGCGGTTAAAGTTTGAAGAAAGTGTTGTTATGATTGGAAACTTCATTTGGGGACGTGAATTCATATATTGTCGCTTCATTTTCTTATTCTCAGCAAATATCTTTGTTTTTTGCACTTTCGTTAATAAAATGTTAAGTGGCAGTTTTTTAATTCTCAACAAATATGTGAGTTTTGTGTTTTTCTTGTATGTTTATTATTAGAAGCACTTAAGACTGAAAATATTGGAATGAAATACTCAACTAATTCCTTTCAATTCTTGTTATGGTATTGTAGCATGCAAATTTTCTCTTTCTTGTATTTCCATTACATCTGCCTTCTTTTGTTGCATTGTTACGATGGTGCAGTCTTTATTGTTATATTCTTTTTGTATTTCTCTGTTTTTCTACAGTTACAACCTTCAACGCTGTATTACTAAAAATGTTACCCTTTTTTACAGCTTTCATCGCCATATTAATGCAAATTAGTTCTATTGTTACAACCTTAATCACTGCATTGCCATATTTCCTTCTCAGTTTTTTGCGCAAAAAAAACCATAATTTTTTCTCCAGTTATAACAATAACAATACCTATATTCCATTGGTTTCAAGTTCACTTGAAATTGTCGGATGCCATCTAAATCCAGTTGGAAAATTGCAAAACGTCCGTTAATATATTAAACACACCAATTGAATAGAAATAACTATATAAAGTGGTTGTGATTGATTCAATTATTTATATAGGGAAGAAAAAATTACGCCATTTACAAGGCATATAAATATAAAAAGACTTGCCAGCTGCACAGGAGTACCTAAAACATCATTTACAGGTGAACAACTTGCTAATATTTTCACCAAAGTGTTATTAAGAGCAGTTTTTTAAGAAATTATTAGGAAAACATGAAATGGATGGCATCCATTCATTTTCTTTAGGGAAATCTTGAAAAAACAGCTTAATTTTTGTCATCTAGGACTCACACTCACTAAGACTTTTGGTTTCTTTTCTTTCTAATATGCTAATTCCTTATTAATTATTGGATCTGTATTCGTACTGATCAATCAATGGAGTATTGTAATTATCATTTTTTGATTTTATATTTCCTATTTGAAGCTCTCCTAGGATTATATAAAATAATATAAATATTAGAATGATTTGCTCAATAATTCTCTTCAATTTTAATAGATTTCTAATGGAATTATGCATTTAGCAAGTAATTCGTTTTGCGGGCCATGATGTCCTAACATAATAGAGCTGACTTTAAAAATACATCTTTCATAGATGTTATCCACTAGCAGCCAGAAAGTTCCGGCAGGGCAAATTTATGTTATGTTCTGTTTTGTTGTATGATTCTTAGCATCCTAGGGGAATAGAGCTGGCTATTAGAAAATACACTGCATGGTTTCAGAATTCTCCTACAAGCAGCACAAAAATTGCTTCAAGAAGTCTCGAACAAATTCAAATAAGTTATTTTATGTTATCTTTTGTGCTACTTAATTTTGGTTTTTCACCTCTTAACGTGTTAAAGTTTGGATTTTTTTTTTCTTTCTTGGAACTTTTGATGTAATATTTTTGTTCTACTGAA